CAATGCGCCTGTGTCATGGTTATTAGGGGGGTGAGGAGGGGTGAGGAAAGACAAGCCAGATGCTGTGAATACCACCAACACTGTCCATCAGCCCTCACAGTTGCTTCCATTCTCAGGATCCGACCCTGCTCAATGTACACCCAGGACTTGGTCCCATGGCTGGAGGAACCCGAATAACCATCTCTGGCAAGGACCTCCTAACTGGCCCCGAGATTACTGTCAGTGTGGGCAACCTGCCCTGTATTCTGTGAGTAAAATGGCTTCTTTTCATCTTCTCTCCCTCCCCTCTCTTTATTTCAGGGCCCCCCAAACATGGCAACTTTAAGCCTTGTGGACTTCAACTCCCTAACTTAAGACCTTTGCTGGGAGTTGAAGTCCACAAGGCTTAAAGTTGCCAAGTTTGGGGACATCTGCTTTATTTCCTCACAATCCTCTCCAAGTCCTCATATCACCTCTTTACTTTCCATCCCAACAGTGAGGAACCTGCGGAACCCAGAGCCATTGTGTGCCGTACCAGTGCCAGCTTGATGCCCCAGAGAGCAACTGTTCGTGCCAAGTATGGTGTGGCAGTGCGTGAATTTCTGGAGAAGCCCTTCCTTTATACACCTAATCCACAGCTCACTGGGGCCTTCCCATCTACCAGCTTCCATGGGTAAAAGCCTGAGGGGTCATTTTATCTGGCTTATGAGTTAATACTGTATATGAGCTTGCATGTTATAAAACATTTCTTTGCTTGACAAGGAAAAAGTTAGCCTTTTTTAAAAGAGGACACATGGTTGTGTATTAGCAGCACAATCTGCCTTCTTTGGTGAGAAGGAAGGGAGACCTAAGGATTATTTCTACAACATTCATAACCATATACTCTGTGTGTACACACACACACACACACACACACACTTCATGCTGTTGCCCTTTGCACAGAAAAAGATTAAGACATAATAAGAGAAAGAAATTAAAGGCATGAAATAAGAAAATATAGCCTGGATAACCCCAACACCATTCCCTATATCTTTCCATAGTTTTGATCCTTGCAAATCATCGTTGCTTCCACCATGTTTGTATAATACGTCACATTGGTGGGTGGGTGGGTGGGTATCTGCACCTGTGTGTGTGCCCATGGTTTTCAAACAGTCTTAATTCCTGGTGACTACCTGGATTTGTCACTACAGTATTCCTGGCAAGATTTTTCAGAATTGGTTTGCCCTTGCCTACTTTCTAGGACTAAGAAATAGTGACTGGGCCAAGGTTACCTAGCTGGTTTAATATGCCTAAAGCAGGTCTAGAACCTCTAGAAGCTACTTACAACATTGTCATTATGTCCACTGCATCACCCTGGCAGCCGTTTGCCGTTATGACTGACTGCAGGGATGCTCCAGCCCTCCTGCCTATCTCCTCCCATACCCCTCCTACCTTGGGCCTGCTTCCCACTCCACTGGGCCCTCCTCACCCCATGTCACACATCATGCGATTACCTTTCGAAGACCTCTAGAACTCAAGTTAGGAAGGCCGCTCCATTGCTGGGCCCTTGGTGTGATCCTGGAAGCAGCCACCATTTTCTGAGCAGCTGCATTGAATTGTGGCCGCTTGGAAAATGGCAGCCGCTTCCAGGATCACATCATGTGGCTCAGCAATAGAGCAATTTGCTTTGCTTTGCTTTTCTAATGTGAGCTCCACAACATTCCACAGGGATAAGTATTCTGCAAATAGGGGAAAGTTTAAGTATTAGGTTTTAAGGGAGAGGAAGAAATGGGACCAGGTTGGTGTTTTGGGGTGGAACTCTGATATGAAGCCACAGTGAAGAAAGAAGGGTGGAGCTGTTTTAGAGAGCAAGAGAGTTTTGGACAATGGAAATAGGGGGTGCAAGGACATTTCAGGAACGGGGAGCAAATAGGAGAACCTCAAAGTTAAGGCTGAGTTCAGCTGTCCAGGACCTCTTCCATCACAAGTTTGTTCACAATGGCTATATCAGACCAATGGTGAAATATTAAGACAGATATCTTTGTGGATGCTGATGTTTCTCAGGGGTGGAAGAATTATCCAGGTGGAGGGGACTAATTTGGATGTGGTGCAACAACCCCTCATCAAAGCCATCTTGGAGCAAGAGAAGACGGCCACAGGCAAAAGCATCCGGAATAAAAGATCCTGTGATTCTTTGCATGGCCCTCATGCCCCATTGTCCTCAGCTTCCTCAAGGCCCTGTGTTGAGGTGGGCGATCTGTTGGAGGTGAGTACAGGAAAGAGAAGAAAAAGTGATGACTTGGTTGGAGGCTGCAGTTCAGGAACAATTCCCCTGCCATCTTCTAATTATTTTTTTTGTATCTTCACAGTGCTGGGAACCTTGCTGTGCTAATTCATCCACTCTCCTACTTTGTCCATCGCCAGCTGTGCCACCCAATGCTCACTTCCGCCACCTTGTTTTTGAGCTGGATGGATTCCACGTTCCTTTTAGCAATGCCAGTGGAGGACAAGAATTCTCCTACAAACCCAATCCCCACCTGCGCTGGCCTGGTCGGGAATCCACTGGCCGCCCTTTTAGTCTTAAACCCGGCAATGTCCTGGACATAGAGGTAAGGGGCATTAGGGGAAGCAGCCGCAGGAATGGTGGAAGCTGGGGGGGGGGGGCTTGATATGATGTGCTTGTTTTTCAGCACAATGATGCTTAGTAGGACTTCCTTGCTCATTAGCACTTCTGAAACCTCAGTCATTTCTTTCTGTCTTGATTCATTACAATAGTTAACAGAATTACCCCAAATTGCGTTGCGCCGGTGTATTGAGTCTCATGTCATAGAACTTCTGGTCATATTATCAGAAGACAGCAATATATAATTTGGAACAATTAAATCACCACTTTTGGAAGTATATATCAGTGGCCCCCAACCTTTTTTGTGCCACGGCCCGGTACCGGCATCACAAAATGATCCGCGGCCCGGTACCGGCATCAGCACGCATGACAAGGCGAGCCGAGCGACCAGCCAGCCAGCCATCCCCCGCTTCTCCCCACCACCTTCAACTCCTCCTTTGTACCTTTGTCGATGGGCTTCGCTTCGGGACGGTCGCTCGGCTCGCCTTGCCTTGGGTGCTGAAAGAATCCTCGCACCTTAGTTTCGTGCGAAGCCCCCCCCCCCTTCGATGAAACTAAGGCACGAGGATTCTTTCAGCACCCAAACGCCGCTTTCCAACCAGAAAAGCTCACCCGGAAGCACTTTCTCGTCAAACAAGATGGCGGCGCCCAGCAAACCGGCGGCCCGGTAGGAAATGTTCCACGGACCAGTACCGGTCCACGGCCCGGTGGTTGGGGACCCCTGGTATATATCATCTACCAGAACTTCCTGTTTCTGGCTTCCGGTGGGTCTCCAGAACTCCCCCGGACCTTTTTGAGGGCAAAAACAGCCAACCCTGGAGGCTCTGGAGGCCCTCCGGAAGCCGGAAACAGGCCCATTTCTGGACTTCTGGTACTTCCGGGAGGGCCATTTTTCACCCTTCCAAGGGTCCAGAGACCTCCCCCAGGCCTCTGGGAGGGCGAAAACAGCCACCCCTGGGCTCTGGAGGCCCTCCGGAAGCCGGAAACAGGCCCATTTCCAGACTTCCAGAAGGCATGTTTTTCCCCCCTCCCAGAGCCTCCGCATGGACCCTGCACTTACCTCCATCAAAAATGGGCCATGTGGAGACTCTGGGGAGGGGAGGGGAGAGATGGGCAGGGCCAGCCAGTCGGTTGAAATACCGGTTTGGTGAAGCAGACGTAACTTTAACATCCGGTTCACCGGAACCGGTCCAAACTGGTAGAATCCCACCCCTGAGCTGAACCACTGGTAGTAAGCATTATCCTGCTATAGAAAATAACGTGTCTTAGGAGTCTGCAGAGAGAGAGAGAGATGGGAGGGAGGGAGAGGGGGGGATAGATAAGGCTTAGACACAGCATGGCCTCCAACTTGGTGGAAAGGGGGCCATAATGAAGTAATTGCAATTCTTGAATGTCGATTGCACCTGTGACTTTTTTTTTTGTGCCCCTCTTTAGGGAGAAGGTTTGAACCTCGGAATCAGCAAGAACGAAGTGAGGGCCTTCATAGGCAACAGTGTTTGCACCGTGAAGACTCTTACGCTTACCCATTTGTACTGTGAGCCCCCTCTGCAACCACCACAGCCGTTTAATACTTCTTCTGTGTTGCCTGAGTTTATAGTGAGTTCAAAAGTAACTGGATGGGTTTGAAAATATTGTAGGGACATCACAGCCATTCCCCACTCACCCACCACACACGTTGTTTCTGGCCTCTAACTTAGACCTTTGCTGATGTTTCCATATGTAGGAAAAGCTCTTCCTTCCTGAAAGACTTTTGAAAAAAAATCTATATAATCCCAGATGTTGTCAGATACAACTCTTCCTTGTTAGCAACAGGAATTCCTTTGAGTGTATAGCATGATCACACCCTATCTTTGAATAATGATTTGCATAATGATATTATTCTGATTGCATAGTCGCTTAGATTCAATTCAGTTTCCCACTCCACCCATAAAGCAGAAGAAAGGTTTGCACAATAAAATTATTTTGGTTTTATGGCTCTTTTAATAGCTTCCTTCCTGGTCCTTTAGTGGCAGAGCAGAGAATTATGCGGAAAGAGTGGCTTTTGCAAGTGGTTGAACCATGTAATGTAGTTCTATCTTTGGAGATAAACATCGGTTATTCAACTTTCTATGCATCCTTAGTGCAAGTATAAATATTAAAATAACTAACAAATTAATATATGTGGGTTTGAAATTTTCATCTTTCCCAAAGGGTTTTGATTGATATTTGGGATTAGAACTAGGAAACTCCCAGTACAGGAATTGATTGTATAACTCATATTCTTACATACCATACAGGATCAGTGCATAACCTGCACATTTTTATGTTATTGTTTTATTCTTCCATCAAAAAGTAGCTGCCCTTCACACAGACTTGACTGAGTGGTGTACAATAAAAAAACAAGCCATAAAAAGAACAACATTAAAAACATTTCACAACTTAAAAAAAAATCAATACCATTAAAAGACTAGGAGAAAGCAGATTCAGTGTAGTTACAGGTAATGTAACCATTCCATGAATTCCACATTTCCTTGAAACCCCCAAACCTGTTGACACAGTCACATTTTGAGGGATTTCTGGAAGTTACCAGGGATGGGCCAGTCTCACTTCAAGGGAAATGATGTTCCACAGGGCAGAGGCCAAGGCAGAAAAGGCCCATGGAACCCGCCAGATATAACTCCTTAACACATGGGGCCCACAATATACCTCTTCTGAGGTAAATATAACCAGGCAAATATAACCAGGGGGAAGCTGTCCCTCAAATAATCAGCACCCGTGTCATGAAGAGCTTTAAATGATATCACCAGTACTTTGAGTTGGATTCAGGAGCAAAAGATAACCAGTGCAGCTTGTAGAACAGAAATGTAATCTGCCGTTTTAGGGATACACATAGCTGCTCATACCACTGCATTTTGCACCAAGGTGAAGCTTCTGTATTCTCTTCGATGGAAGCCCCATGTACAAAATCTTGCCTTATGCAAACAGATCTTCAGACATGACCAAGTCCCCTTTTTGCTACTTTATTGGTACACTGAATCCCCAGATCCTAATTGGACCAATACTGGAAATTCACTAATTTTTACTCATTCTTACTATGAGTAGTTGTTAGCAATAGCATGCAATTAAGTATACATTGATTGTTTTTTTTAAAAAAATCTATACATAAATGTAAACTTTCCTGTGTGGTTCATCGAAGAAATTCAGTTCATCAGCCTTCCTTAACGATCTTAAGATGGGCACCATTAGGAAAGTCTTCCCCAATCTGCTAGGGGCATGGACCTCAGTTCCTAGCATCCCTGTTGCTTGGGAAACATAGGAGGTGAAGCTCCCAGATCAGGTTTAGGACCGGAGCTCAGACCTTTTGAGACCAGACTTATTCCTGGTCTCCTTGTATTAGCTCTTGTAAGGGATTTCTGCTTTGACAGATTATTTAGTCCTTATAATAGCACAACGCTTTATTGCAACAGACAACTATGTGTCAAATGAATCTTGTATGCTGTCTTCTTGCAGGTACAGATGGGAAACCTGCGCCTGGATCTTGGTCGTGTCCGCTATGATACAGAACCGCCATCTAGTTTTCCCCCACAAGCCCAAATTGGGCTGGGTGTAGGGGCAGCAGTGCTGGTGGTTATAGTCCTGCTTCTCATTTTAATGTACAGGTATATCACACCTTCAAAATCACTGGGAGGCTGGGAAGCAATGTTGTTTCCTTCCCGTGAAACTTAGTAATCTCTTTTTCTTGGTCTCTTGACAGACGAAAGAGTAAGCAAGCCTTGCGTGATTATAAGAAAGTCCTAGTGCAGCTTGAGAACATGGAGATCAGCGTCGGAGACCAGTGCCGCAAGGAATTCACTGGTATGAAATGGGAATGGTGTTAGCTTTTCCCCAACTGGACATGCCCCCTGGGTTGAATCACTAGACTACTGCTCCCATCATTTGCAGCCGAAAGAGCAGGTGGTTGTGTGAACTGGAGATGATGTATATGTAGCATAACAAGCATTCAAGAATACCTGATCAGGGAGGGTCGGATTAATTAATCTGGAGGAAAGAGGAAGGATTTTGAATGAGGGAAAGAAAGGAGGAATGAGATGATAAAAGAGCTGTCTATAGATCTAAAATCTTATCTGCGGTCCTCATGTATCAACCGCTTGTTCAGCAACTGTTTGAAGCACTGAACGGGAGGTACTTACAACTTGCCCTTATACTGATGGCTCTTGCCGCATCCTTGTGGGCATGTGATCGCAATTTGGAAACTTCCATGACAAGCAAAGTCTATGCGGAAGACAGCAGGAAGACACAGGCTGCGGTCACATGAGGTTGTCACTTAATGAACCACACGATCCTTGTTTAATGACAACAACTGGAGTTGCCAAAGCTGACATTGATAAGCAGCATGATCACATGGTGTTTTTTTTTTTTTTTTTACTTACAACCACATCATTTAATGATAGGGTTTCCAGTCCCAATATGTTAAAGTAAGGACTTCCTGCAATCTCTAACAGGCTACAGTCCAGACTTCTTTGAAATGTGGTGCTCTTACCAGTTGACCTGTCCAGATTAGATACTTAGGGAAAGCCTTCGTTTATGAATATAGAGGATTCCATACGGAGTAGGGAAATAGCGTACATATGTTAAAGCAAGTGAGAGAGTTCATACAGAAATTACTGTGACAGGATAACTAAAAGGGTTCAGGAGTCTCATCTGAAGCAGAAAAGGTGACAGTGCTTGCTTGAGCTGCAAGCGCTCCAGGTGTGACAGCCCAGAAAAGATGTGGCTTATTTTAAAGAGGTCCCTGCAGGTAAGCAAGCACCTCCACCCTGGATCCAAAGAATCTTCCTGGCTTCCAAGCAAAGACCAAACACTTCTATGGATCACCTTGTGAGAGAAATCGGCAGCATAAAAATTCAATAAATTCATAAATAGATAACTCCCGGAGATGATCATGAATTGATTAGCAATGTAATGGCCTTGTTTTCCTGCCGAATTACAAATCCTTAGATGTTGCACCCAAGAGACTTTATTTGCCCTAGTGCTGAGAATTCCACAGAGTTTGGAAGAACAAGATTTTTGGAGGGTGGGAGTGGGTGGAAGAGGGAGAGGGGAAACAATTGGATTCTTCATTTCTGTATCCTTGTTTGAGCACGTACAGTGCCCTTGCTGTGAAGAAAGGAGACCAAGCAGAGCTTTTGAGAAACAAGCATTGCACAAAGCAGTGCCCTAAAAATTGTCCTGATTATTATGAATGATCCTTGTCTCTATGATTACAAACAGCAGCTTTACAATTCCTGCTTAATTTTGCGGGGTTAGGCTGTTGTCAAAAGCCGGAAAAGCACAGGTAAAGTAAAAAGTGTGTGTGTGTTTTGGTAAATTTTTTGCTTTATATTTACAATAAATCCATCTTTCATTTAAACTGTGTGTCAACTGAGTACATATATCTTGTGCTAGCAATTATAATTAGTTTTTTTCGGAAGGAGAAAAATGAAAGGCATTTTAGAAGTGGGGAAGCATTTATTATTGTGAATGACCGGGTGCTGTATGTTCCTTTTTGTTCTTCTTTAACCCTTTATCCTCCTTCCCTTCTGTCCCAACTTCTGATCACGACTCCTTTCCTCGCTTCAGATCTCATGACTGAAATGACTGACTTGAGTGGGGAGCTGGAAGGCTCTGGAATCCCTTTCCTGGACTACAACACCTACGCTCAGCGTGTCTTCTTCCCGGCTCAGGGGGATGTCCCTCTGAGACGGGTGCTGGACCTGCCCGAGGGCCGTCGAGCCACAGTGGAGCAGGGCCTGGGACAATTCTCCAATCTGTTGAACAGCAAAGTCTTCCTGCTGACGGTAAGCAAACTGGGGGAAATGGGGAGGTAGATGCTGGAAAGCAGCGGAAGGACAGAACAGATTCTCCGCCACTGGTGGGAGTGGGATGGTTTTTGGAAATCAACTGTTAAGTGGGAAGTCTCCCAATGTGGGAACAAGGACGAATTGCAGGAAGCAAAGCTCCTATAGGAACACCTCTACTGTACCATTCAATATTGACATAGGAGAGAACAAGGCAAAGCTGCACACTGATAGGAAGGGACTCTAGTCTAGGTGGTCATTTGGTATCTCCTAGATCAAGGCTGTCAAACTGGGAGCCCAGATGCGTCACATGTAAGCCATGCCCGCCCCAGCTCTGCAAAGTGAAAAAATGTTGCAATACATCATGTGACGGCAACGGGATGCCGCGGGTTTGACACCCGTGTCCTAGATTCATCTGCAGGGAATGTTTACAAGTATTCTCCTCTGCTGCATCAATGGCTGATGGTTTAAACTTCAGCTTTGAACAATATTTCCAGACTGATGCTTTCATCCCAATGATGAAAGTAGCGTTGCACAATTGCAGCACGAGTTCTTTTGCCCCTTTTGTGCATGAAGGCAGTGCCGGAAAGCACATACAGGAAGGATGGAACCTCATCATTTGCCTCCTTGACCCTCAGAAAATCTCTGTCCTTGGAGCAGAAGGGGTATCTTCTGGGCCATAGCAACAGAGCTGATACTCTTCTCTCCCTGCTATTCGCAGTTAATCCGGACGTTGGAGGCCCAACCTACCTTCTCTCAACGAGACCGATGTCATACAGCATCGCTTCTCTCTTTGGCTCTCCATGGGCGGCTGGAATACTTGACGGACATCATGCAGACCCTGCTGAGTGATCTGGCTGCCCACTGTGTTGCCCGCAATCCTAAGCTCATGCTTCGCAGGTAGGTCCTGGAGCAATCACGCATAGATGCGGAGTGGGGAAAGGTACCTTTCTTCCAAAAAAATCTTTTTTGATTATCTGCTTCTGCAGAATGGGTAGCTCTGTGCTCTCTTGATGTGGGTAGCTTTGTGCTCTCTCGAGCAAGCCTTCTATTTTCATAGCTAGCATTGATTCCTCATGGCTAGCAGCTACAGCAAAAATTTACAAGTACCTACTCCAAACAATTGGGGTGAATTAATGAAGAAATTAAATCTTAAACTGGAATACCATTGATTGAAAAGAAATATGGCACAGTGAATGAAAATATCTTCTGAGGATTGCTCTGCCTATTTACTTGCTATGAACATTATTTTTCTTTTTGACAGTTGTTGAAGCACTGTGGTGATATACAAAAATATTGCCCTGAAATTTGTTTTAAAATTTCCTTCATACTAGATAATATAGTCCATAATCTGCTTCAGATACTTTGGTCTCAAAAAGAATTTTCTTGAATTCAGTTAAGCCCTGCATTGATTCTATTGCCCTAGACAAAAGCCTCAGGGAGTGTGAACGGTTTATATTTTGAGTTAAGGCAGTTCTTGGGCAGCATATAGGCAATCCCTCTTCTCTTGGAGTTGGAAGTGGTTCCAGTATATCATGAAATATAGGTAGTCTTCAGGTTAGGGCCATTTGTTTAGTGAGAGTTCAAAGTTGTGATGATGCTGAAGAAATGATACTTATGACAGGTCCTTGTAGTTCCAGCCATAGCCATGACGTCCCCACAGTCATGTGATCAGTAATTTCTGATGTTCTCTGCTGGCTTCCCAAAGCAAAATCAAGGAAAGTGGCAAAAAATTGGGAAGTCATGGTCAGGTCATCATTTAACATTGGCAACCATGACTGCAGGAATTGCCCTCGCTAAGCATCATGGCCATGCAACATCACATTTTAAGATTGTGTTACTTAGTGATGGCCCAATTGCTATTACAAGTCAAGATTTATTTGTCACATTATTAAACCATGCAATTATTTCATAGGACAGAGACCATGGTGGAGAAACTACTGACCAATTGGATGTCCATCTGTCTCTACTCCTACCTTAGGGTAAGCACTGGGCACCATGCTGAATTGTAAAATCTAGTTTTAAATTGGTTTGATGGGGAGCAGGGCCAGGGAAATGGGCCTAGCTTTACAACTTTGTGAATTCTTTGGCTAATATGTTGCTATTCTGTTTGCTTACCCGCTTTGAACTCTTTATGTCTGGTACTGAAATCTATTGAAAAATCTGTGAAACATCTTACCAGACTTTCTGTTCCTGTTTCTGGGCAATCAGATAACATCCTGTTAGGTGTAACTTGGTTTATTTCTGGCTTTGTAGTCTGCCAATTCTAAAAGAAACTTCTGCTTTTCCTGCTATCCCGCTGATCCTCACAACTTTCCCCCCAGTGAGCAGAGGCACATGAGAATAGATTGTACCAAAAACAATCAGCAAATAATCAATCTATATCTTTTGTGTTGCCTGGAGAGTTTGGATCTGGGTTTTTATAATTTGACCATCCCACACTGGTTTTCATTTGTCCTCCCATGGAGAAATTCTGTGTGGATTATTTCCCTGCTATTTCATTCTTACTCTAATCCAAAATCCTTCATGTGGGTGACTGCATCACTTCAGTTCATGGTAGAGGCCTACATCTTGGCAACCAATCTTTGGTATGGTTTTTTTCTGCTGCGCCTTTTAATATTGAACCTCATCTGTTTGCAAATTTTACTATAGCCTTTTTGTTGTTTTCCCTCCTGTCATTCCCTAGTTTTCCTCCTCAGTGCTCCCATCCATCCATCTTTCTGAATTGCCAAAAAAGTATTCACCAACAGTAGGGCAAAGAAGCCAAAAGAGATTGCCTTAATTGCTGTGAATGTATTTTTGTTTGTACATAAATTGTCTTTCTTTTCCACACAATCCGTTTATTTTATGCAATAGTCAGCCTTTCACTTTAGTACAGTAAGTAAAAACTTTTAAATATAAACCATCTCCAATTTTACACTTGTAAAGAAAGTTCTCTGATTCTGATAAGCCATGCAACTTAGGTGAATTTGCAAGCTATTTGCTTATTTTGCTTATTTGCACAGCATATTCAGATACTGTATCAATCAAGTTATTACATTTGCCATGTTTTAAATTACAAACTCTTAACTGTAGGGTTGGTTCCACCTTATTTCTTTTGTACATCTTTTCTTCTTTCATTATTACCAATTTTATTCCTTTTCTATGCTAAGTCATGTCATTACAACTGTGGTCACAGCAAAAATTGATTAATTGGTTGATTGATTGGTTGATTAACAAGTGTATTCTACTTTGAGTTGGAATTATGCAAAGCATCTAAGTTTTCCCTGAGCTAATGAAAATCTTGTACATCCCTTTTTCTGGCTATTACTCACAATACATGCTCTCATTGATGGATGCCTATTTTTGTTTAAAAGATAATATCACTGCTTGTGTTTTGTGCTTGATCAGAATGCCTGAAAATGGTCTGGTTTTTTTAAAAAGGAAGATTTTTGAAAGTCAGTGTAGGTAGTTCTTGACTTACGATTACAACTGAGCCCCAAATTTCTGATGCTAAGTGAGACACTTGTTAAGTGAATTTTGCCCCAATTTACAATCTTTCTTGCCACAATTGTTAAGTGAATCACTGCAGTTGGTAAGTTAGTAACACGGTTCTCAAGTGAATCTGGCTTCCCCATTGACTTTGCTTGTCAGAAGGTCACAAAATGTGATCACATGATCCCGGGACACTGCAACAGTCATAAATATGAGTCAGTTGTCAAGCACCTGAATTTTGATCACTTGACCATGGGGGATGCTGCAATGGTTGTAAGCGTGAAAAACAATCATAAGTCACTTTTTCAGTGCCGTTGTAACTTCGAATGAACCATTGTAAGTCGACTACCTATATCTGGAACTCCTGAGGAAATATAGTGCTAGGTATACCGCAGCAGAGCAGGGATTGTTTCAGCTGTAGAGAATGAGATTCATCCATTCTATCTTTCCTGCTGCAGGAGGTAGCTGGGGAGCCCTTGTACATGCTTTTCCGTGCCATTAAGTACCAGGTGGATAAAGGCCCGGTGGATGCTATCACAGGCAAGGCCAAGCGGACGCTAAATGACAGCCGGCTGCTCCGAGAGGATGTGGAATATCGGCCTCTCACTCTGACAGTCTTGGTGCGAGGAGGGCCTGGTGGTGGGACCGAAACTCAGCGTATCCCAGCCCGTGTCCTCGACACAGATACTATCACCCAAGTGAAGGAAAAAATCTTGGACCAGGTGTTCAAGGGTGTGCCTTTCTCCCAGCGGCCCTCTGTGCATTCTCTTGACTTAGGTAAGATACCTCCTTCCTTTAGTCATCCCAGGTAGATGAGGTTGGCTAATTTATTTGCATAGTGTTGTGTACTAGACTGTGGCTTCATAGATTGTGTTGTGGAGGTTTGAGGGAAAGAGGAGAACATGAAAGTGTGAGTCTCTTACCTGTTACTCATCTCCCTCCTGCCTACCCTCAGAATGGCGCTCAGGGGTTGCTGGCCATCTGACCCTTTCAGATGAGGACCTGACTTCAGTCATGCAGAACCAGTGGAAGAGGCTCAACACGTTGCAACATTACAAGGTACAGCCAGCAAATGAGATGACAGTGAAGAAAAAAATGAGTGGGGGGAGACTAGGGAGGGACAATTTGCTGGCCATGTGCATTCCCCAATCTTATGTTTCCAATCTTAAGCATATGCCACCAAACTCCAGCAGCAAAAATGCAAAAAATCCATGTCTCTACTTTTACCCATTCCCTGACAAGGAAAATGGGTATCTTTTAAGTTTCTGTGTGGCTTAATCCTGCAGGGGTATAGTGTTTGCTACTTCTAAACTGGAAATCCTCCCCTAATCAGAAAAATGTTGCTCCCCTCTTCATTAGTTTTCTGCAACCCTGGGCACCAAAAAACAGAAAATGCAGCTCTTGGAAGATAACATCTATTCTATCTACAACTACCGTGTTTCTCCAAAAAGACGACCCACCTTGAAAAGAAGCCCTATCATGTTTTTGAGCACATGCAATCAAATTAAGCCCCACCCACAAAATTAGCCCTAATTAAGACCCCGCCCACCCTGGGGTGTAGTGGGTGGGGCAAGGCACACAGGTAAAAAATAAGCTAGGATGGGAATGGAGGGGTGAAGCTGCCCTACTTACCAGGCATTGCACAACCCGACGTCTGCCTCGCCGTCTTCTGCGGCCACTTGCCACCACTCGCATGGATTGTCCCGACCTCTGTTTCGCCTTCAGATGCCTGCCAGAAGGCATCTGCAGGCAATAACAGATCTGTTAGTGGCCACAGAAGTGGGCTAGCAGCATGCTCCTGCTGGGTGGGGCTGTCGATGCCACTGCCACTGCCACGAGATGAGTCAATAATTAGAACCCTCCAAAAAGAAGGCCTAGCCATTTTTTCAGGGGTCAAAAGAAAATAAGACCCAGCCTTGTTTTTGGAGAAACACAGTAGCTACATTAGAGAGCATTAGCTCTCTCTATACTAGCTGACAGAGCCACTCTGCTATGCTTTGCCATTTTTGATTGTTTGCGGTTCTCTGTTCCTCTTTCCGCAGGTTCCTGATGGGGCCACAGTCAGTCTCATCCCCCGCCTTCACAATGACATTTCCCAAGGCACGGGTCAAAACTTCTTCTTTGGAGAAAGTGAGTGTGTCTCTCAAAGCAAAGGCATGGCTGGGTTCATGCATTGTTTGTAAGCCATAATGTGGGTTCTTTGGGGTTAAATGGATCCAGCCAATTCTGGGCCACAATTGAACAAAGGCAAAAACATTTGGTTTTGAACCATTACTGCCTTATGTAACATGATATCTTCTCTACCGTTCAGCACTGCTTAACACCAGTGACTGTACTGTCTCAAGAATAATGAGTTGTAATTCAGCACATTAGGAGGGCACCAGAAAGCATAAATCATTCCTCTTATTTGTAATGTTTTGAGATTCCCAGACGTTTCACCACTCAGATAAATAACATTATCAACAGTGATTACATAGATTTCCTCTGTGATCTATGCCTCTGACCACCTTGGTTTGGGCTACAATGGCCACCCCAAAGGTTTCCCGAGCCTCCTTCCTATAAGCCTCCTTCTTTCCTTCACACTTTTGACTGCAGCTGCTGCTATTACCCTAGAATGGGTTATGAATAATTCTTACATCCCGAAGGCAAGATGGCTGTCAGGGAAATGTGGTAATGGAGAGATTGGCCTATCTTATAGCCAGATGAATCTTACTGCTTCCTTTTCAGACACCCCAATGCTAGAGGATGGAGAGGAAGGGGGGCTACGCCTCTGGCACCTGGTAAAGCCCACAGAAGAACCAGAAGCCACAAAGCAGCAGCAGGGTCGGCGCAGCAGCCTACGAGAGCGGGCAAAGGCTATTCCTGAGATCTATCTCACTCGCCTGCTTTCCATGAAAGTAAGAAACAGTGCTTTTAAAATGCCTCCTCCCAGGCATCCAATTCAGTCCTCAAATGCACAGAGCCTTAGACCAGTGGCCTCACAATTAGGATTCCCAAGAGTTTGTCAAGGGGGAAAGAGAAACCAGTTCCCCTGAAAGGAAGCGTTTGCGCTATTTAGCTCTGCATTGTAATCACGAGCATTCTGGATGTACTCTTAGGGTAAATGAAGAGACCACGCAAACAGCTAAGCTAGAACCTGACTATGATAAGGTACAGGAAAACAATCATGAGAACAATTTAAAATTAAATTCTGACAAGTTGGCTTAACTCCGACAAATGTTTCTTAAGATGGCTGCAAAGCTTTAAACAAAATTATTCGCCAAACAGCAATTACATAGACAGGATCTCTCCTTATGGATCAGCTCTTGATTAAAAAACTGAAAAGAGTAGAACATCTATTAAATCGGCTAGGGCTTCCTAGAGGTTTCCAAGTGTCAGGAATGCAGTGATGAAGTTGTAATACACGCAAGTTTTAAATACTGGTATTCTGATGGTATTTTGCATTTCTCATTAATTGGAAAAAAAGCAGGAGCATGTCTCTAAGGCCTTTCTTTTCCTCCTCTTGACCATCCATAGGGAACCCTACAGAAGTTTGTAGACGATGTGTTCCAGGCAGTGCTGAGCGTAAACCGCCCAGTGCCAATTGCTGTCAAGTATCTATTTGACCAATTGGATGAATTGGCAACAAAGCATGGGGTCACTGAACCTGAGACTTTGCATATTTGGAAAACCAACAGGTGAGATTTGCATGGGCTGATCAATGGCAGATTTGCTCAAGATTGCAGGAAAATAGAGGCTTCAAAGGCTGAAGATTAGCAGCTGGAAGATGTCATGGATCTCTCAACTTTAACGTATTTTTTCTTCCACCTATCTCAGTCTGCTGCTGCGCTTCTGGGTGAATACACTCAAGAACCCTCAATTCATTTTCGATGTGCGTGTCTCTGATAATGTGGACGCAAATCTCACTGTCATTGCTCAGACATTTATTGATGCATGCACAACCGCTGAACACAAAGTTGGCAGGGTAAGTCTGCATATGTGCGCATGGAGTAAACAGGGAGCGAGATCTGAATTTGAGTGCATGTGATGTTGGCGTGCTTCATTTAGGTAAATCAGGGTTACATACTACTGTTTTGTTCCATGTGAAACAGAATAATAAATGAAGTCTTGCCCAATCTAGTATCTTCCATAAAGATTGAGCTATAATTCCATTGCCTCAATTTGCATAGCCAAAAGGGGGGATTCTAACTGTAAACAGGTACAATAAAGGGAACTTACTTTGGGAATGCTAAGAGGGCGTCATATATTTGACAGTCCAACCTTTTATCTAAATAATTTCTTCCAGGTATTTAACTATTGGAAACTAGTGGGAACATTAGTCTCATCATTTCTACAAGCAGCAGTTGAAGAGACATTGAGTTGTTGGGTATTTTTTCAAGTGGCTGCAGCTATTGGTGGCTTCAGCTAGTGCTCAAGTTTTATTTTTGCTTACACTTTCATTTATAGTTATTTCTTTATTTATGCTTACACTTGTATTAATTTATGCTAGAAGCCAGTTTGAAAAGTTCTTTCTAGACAAAATGTTCTCGATTTCATGCTGGTCATGCCATTTTTACATATCATGTGATAACATTTATCTGAGTCAGTTTCATCATTTGTCTCTTGAGGCAACAAGTTAACTATTACTTGTTTGTTGTAACCCTCCTCCACATAATTAATTTAGGCCCCTAAAAGACTCCATTTTGTCAATGATCATTCCGTTCATTAATACTTTCTTAGAGGAGGCTATGGTGAAGTCAGTACTCTTATCTTTTGACTGGATCAGTTTTAACAACTATCAGCTGTTATTCAGGATTCCATATTTAGTCCAACTGGTGAAGAAGATAGTGTTGCTATATCTTAGAGAAAGCAGATTATATTTGTTGATTTTGCTGGATCGCTTCGTGGCTTTTAAGAATCTTGGGAGGGTACTTGGGGGTTTGTGGTCTTTTTTTGCAGTAATTCCATTCCAATCTTTTCAAAGACTGCAAGAAAATAGTCCTGGATATTTCTACTCACATCTTTGGCAGTTTTGCAAGGTTCTCTCATCTTCCACAGTATTTGATATAAAGCTGCCAGGATAATTCACAGGTTTGATGCTAATGGACATCAAGATACAAATAATATCCATTTAAAGCTTTACTTTTCTGCAGGCTTAGGATTAGATGGCTACAGAGTTTTTAATTGCTTCAGGTTGTAAAGCATTCTGTATGACAGAACAAGCTAAACCTAAATGCAAATAAGATAGTGTTGATATTGATTCTGGAGGCTGGGTTTTGGGATTTGGGAAACATGCCTGTCCTCAATAGAGTATGCCCTCCCTTAAGGATACATGGTCCTCTTAAATTACACATTTGACATTGGATAGCAACATAACATCTGTGGCCGGGAGAACTATCATCTTTGGCTGATGAACTGGATGTATCTCTACCTGGAGGAGAGAAACCTAGCTTTGGTGATTTCTGCCAATACTGAATATTGAATTACTATAATATACTGGCTCTCCCAGTTGGTGTGGGGTACTAATAGGGACACTATTAGTATGCTGGAGATGGCTGGTAAATTAACAAGGAGCATGCCACCACTGTACCAATTTTATCTTCTGTTTCTTATCTTTGTACTCAATATATTTAATATTTTACATTTATTATTTTAATTTCTAAGTTGCCAAGAGTTGCTTTGCAGAATGAGATGAGTGGCATGTAAATTTAGGAAATAAATAAATATGCCTATACTTATGAAGGTCCAAGAGAATGCCCAGATTATCAGACCCTGGCATAATTTCTTATGCAATGTTTTTCTTAAAAAGAATATTAGAGCTATATGCAGGGGAAGTAATGCCCAATGAACAAGCAGGTTTTAGAAAAGGCAAGATGGCTAATGAAAAGAGTGAAAAAAATACATGAAGCAGGTTGACTTCTGCCTCTCTGATTATAGCAAGGCCTTCTGAGGAACCATTACAAGTGAACAAAGAGATCCTGTTAAAACTGAGTTTTGGGAAACAAAATGGTTCAGAATAGTGATGGGACTGAGAGACATGCAAGAATACATATTAACCCAATAGTAGGAATAGAAGAGAACACAGCTGGAATTACAACTGGAAGGCAAAACATTTAGTGGTTTATGATACGTAGATGGTACTATTTGTAGCTAGTGGTAAAGAAAAGAAAATGATAGATAGCCTTGCATTCCTGGTTTTAAGAATAAGTTAAAATTGGCATTATGCTGGAAAAGTTTTTAAAAAAATCCTATGGATGATTATGTGCCATCAAGTCATTTTTGATTCCTAAGTAATCACAAAGATGATCCCTATGATATTTTTGTCTTTGTTGCTTTTGGCTTTCTTCCCTTCTTGCAATTTTCAAAATTTGGTCTGATATCCAGTTTGCTTTCTTCCCTCTCTGTATTTTTGGCAGTCTTTTTACATCCACCCTTAACAATTTCTTTAAGTTTATTCTATAATTCCTCAGGTTCTTTAGCAGTGAGGTTCAGAACTTCAAAGTGATCCCTGATGGTTTCCTTGATTCAGGGATGAAGCAGTGACAAACTTAGGTTAGCAAGTGTATGATTGATAGTGACAATTCTAAAAGTAATGAGCTGTGAAAACTGGATATTGTGAGAAAGAATAGACACTGAAATTATGGATTTGGAGATGGCTATTTATGGTATAATGGATGGCAAAGGGAACCAATCAATGACTCCTGGAATAAATAAAGGGTAATTGTTATCTTGCAATGGCAGCAAGCAGAAATTCACATGCTTTATTTCAGATAAGCAGTATGAGCAAATGACAACTACAAAATAAATCATTTATTAAGGGAAATAAAAAGAGTAAAAAGAAATAGATAAGATAAATAGAAACTGAGAAATTATTAGAGTGTTCTTGGAAGAAGTTGAAGTTGTTAATAAAGACCAGTTAAGATGGTACTTGGCTAATTAATTTCAAACATTAATATGACAACTTGTCACATTTTTAAATAATTCTTTGGAATTTTATAATACAAGAGGCCTAATGCATGAGCCCGAATCCATTTCTACTTTCACATCAGTTTTTTTCAGGTTTCAAGATGTCATGCATAGGATTTGGTCAGCTTCAAACCCACCTGCAGAAATGCTGATTTCAACAATCCTATTGCTGACGCTGTGGGAATGGCTTTACTCCCATCAAACTCACAAGTCCATTTCCCTTTCAGGAATTTCTAGTTGAGTTACATCACATGGCTTAATGTTCTAGATTGCAAAACATATTCTTTCCCACATCTAAAAACTTTCCCTTGCAGATATGTAAATTTATAATGTAATTTTCTCCCTCTGTGACATGGTATCTAAAATGGTGAATCAAACAATTCTACTTTCAAAAGAATACAAATTACATTACATTAATATTACAGTATATACTTGGGAGATAATCAGTTGGCATAACATACTGTAGTGTAGACTATATACTGTTATGTTGAACTCCCACTCAAAAATCAGATAAAAATGAAGCTGGTTGAATTAGTAGATTGATTTCCTTGCTCCTTTCCTATTTTTAGTTCAATTTAAAAAAAAAAATCACAGTTTTACTTTTTTTGTTTTACTTAGTGCCAAGCATACCCAACACACATTTCTCCTCCTATTTTCTTTACAACAATCCTGTGAGGTGAGTTGAGCTAAAGAGAATGACTGGCCCAAAGTCACCGAGCTATTTTTCATTGGTAAGGCTGCACTAGCACTGCCAGTCTCCTGGTTTCTAGCCTGGTGCCTTAACAATTTGAGCAAACTGGTTCTCAATTTTGTCTGGCATTTGGCTAGATAGAGAAAATGGCAGAACTTGATCAGTTAGATTTTTTTTTAAAGAGCAGGCCCACTTTTTCACTATTTCATCAGTGTAGAAAAAATAGCTGTGAAAGGCAGCAGTCTGTTAATGGAGGGGATACCAAGCATTCTTCCCATGGTGCACCATTGCCAGTTAGATTGTCTTTGCCTACAATGAAATAAAATATAGCAGGAGGATAGAAAACACTCACTTTGATATGAAGTAGAAAAGGGTGGGCAGAAGTTACCTTTTCAGTGGCTGAGTGAGATAGAGCCGTGCATTTCTGCCTTTGAAAAGCAGGGGCCATACTTATGTGGGACTTACAAATCTTTTTGGTTTTATTTATAATAACATTTGAGATTGCCAGAGTACTTAGGGGGCATATCAGTCTTTGTTCTCTATATCAGGACTAAAGGATTTTGGTCTCTATACTTTATCTTGGTCTCTATTCCAAGTTAGCAACATGGTTTGGTAAGTGACTCTAGCTTCCCCATTGACTTTGCTTGTCAGAAAGTTGCAAAAGGTAACCCTGAGACACTGCAACTGTGATAAATATGAGCCAGTTGCCAAGCATCCAAATTTTGATCACATGACCATGATATGGTACAAGAATAATAAGCATGAAAAAATGGTCATAGCTCACTTTTTTCAGTGATGTTGCAACTTCAAACTGTACGAAATGAATGGTTATAAATCAAAGACTACCTATAAACAATATTTTTCATTTTTCCTCTGGTTATATTGTACCAGGCTAAAAAAAATTGTTCATGCTTAGAGACATATACTTTTAATAATAATAATAATATAATTATTTGTTCTCTGAAAACAGACCTACATTCTAAGTTTTTCAGTCTTTGTTTAGAATTTTTAGAAAGCTTATATTTTTATAATTCCCTGGTCTAATACTTTGCAGACTATCAAGTATTGTAGTTTGTTTGTTTTTTTTAAAAAAGCCTTTTTCATTAAAAAAAACTTTACCTTCTTAATCATTGCTTAGTCCAATACAAGTAATAATCAGATGTCTGAGGAATATTATTTATAAAATGCTTTCTGATTTGCCTAGAAAGCCTAAAGCTCTAGAAAGGAGATGAGATCTGCCAAACAGCTTTTTACTTCTCATTTTTGCTGCAAAAGTTGCTTTCCCACAGTCTCCTATAATATCTTGTAGAACTGGTCAGACCAGACCAACCCTTGCTGTTGCTTCCTCTTGGGTAACTAAATAATATGTTAGTTCTCTCAGCCTTTTTTTTATCCCTTTGAAGATGCTGTCTTTTTTTAGATATAGGCATTTTCATTTCATTTGAATTACTGATCTAGTCTCTTTCTCAAAAGCTTGTCTGGTGCATCTGATATTCTGCTACATTTCCTTTCAGAACTGTCCTGCTCTGGTCATCCTAGAAAAATAACTGTTAGGACTATAAGCACTCAAAAAAAAAATCTGATAAAAGAGAAAATTCTTCAAATGGGATTCCTTAAAAGCCAAGTTACAAAATGTCAATCAAGTCAGTCTGACATAAGATTTTAGACTGCTCAAAACCAAAATAATTTGAACGTGAAACAGGCTGAACATTTGAAATTACGTAGGCATTCATCAGTTCTACTCCCTCTGTGTAGAAATTTTAACATACTTTCCCTGCAAGGGTATGCAGGGTGACGACTGCAGGTACCGACACATACCCAGATACTTCCACTGGAAACTGCAACAGAGGACAGTAAAATAATTAAAAGTTTCCTTTGTTGGTAATGGTATCTAGTGTCACCTAGATTTTTGCTGTCCTGATTTGGTAGCCTTATCCCTTAACTTTTTAAAGGTTCCCTTAATTAATTAATTAATTAATTAGCTGCCAAACTGCAAAACAAAGCATCAGTAACATACATATGTACATACATACATTACTTAAGTACTGTTCATACATTACTTACTTATAAAATGCAAGTGCAAGCTGGCTAGGGAATTCTAGGAATTGAAGTCCACCCATCTTAAAGTTACCAAGGTTTTACCGTACTTGTTTAGGTTCTATTTTGACTTGTCATGGTAGCCATTTTGCAAATAGCTATATCTCCCTGCTGCAGCCATTTTGTGAGTGCATCCATCACATGCTCTTAAATGCGCCAGTAGCCCAGCAGGCTATTTATACCCTTCTTCCCTGGATTAGACCATTTGTTCCAGTGCTGTATTCTTAATGGCAGCCCGGCCAGCACTGTTGGAAAGCTCCAAAAAAGCAAGGGGTGAGGATTTTTTGTCCCTGAACATGACATTTGGCATTACACTACTGCCTCTTGGCTTTTATTATTTGCAGCTAAGTATCCCTGACAAAGCTATAATTCTTTCCAAATTGCTCTTTTGAAAAGCTATCATAAGCCAGTGATTGCCCCCATACCTTCTGGAAGTGAAGTCCATTAAGTTCAAGAGGTCAATTGGATGACATAGTCAGAAGTACTTAGGATTTTACACTTTCCCCCCCATTCGTTGGCTGACTCCAGATTGTTTACTTATCTTTCAGAATAACAGGTGTTCTTTTTCATTTCTCTTGTGGGAATGCCCTTAGCCATATTCTAAATATGGGGAGAGCTTACTGGATGAGTGTGACATATTTAACCCTCCACTGGGGCTTGTCTTTTGTAAATTGCCTGTCTATAATTTGGAAGGGTTTTAATGAGATGAAAGATATACTGTACATTTGTATCACTGATGAAGATAACTCTGCCGCTGGGCTACTTAGTCGAGACCAGAAATACAGTCTTCCATCATCCAGAAAAAATAAATAAATAACCCATTCATATAAAAAATGAGAGTGTGAGTAAAATAACTCTTTGTCTTCCTCCTAACAAACTATTCCAAGTTCTGGAGCTGTTTTTCCCCCAATTATCCAGTATCCAGTACTTTAGTTTTCCCAATTTCAAGCTTTTCGGGTACATTAGATGACAATTTATATACTGTTAATTCTCAGTGACTATAGATTTGAAACTTTGGAAAGACTATTGTAATTAGAAAAAGAAACATAATATGTGAAGCTTGGATATCTTTTTACTCTTTTTTTTAATCAGTTCCTGTTTTTTCTTGCTTTTCTCTCTTACTTCAGGACTCACCAGTCAACAAATTACTCTATGCCAGGGAAATCCCACACTACAAACAAATGGTGGAGAAGTAAGTGTGAGCAAAATGTAAAATACCATTAAAAAAAAGCCTTCAAGAAAACAAGATGTGATGATAGGGAGCTGTGCACAGATAGTGAGTAAAAACAAATAAGGAAAGATTATTTTGTAGCTTCTCTGCAAATTTGTATGGCTTCCCTCCTTTTGCGTAATACTCTACTGTTATTATATATTCTACAATAAATTGGACAGTATTTCCTCCTCCCCAACATTTCCAACAATAGGAAATCTGATATAGCCTGCTCTTTTGGCTTTAGAGATTTCAGACTTTGCATTAACATTTCAGTTTCAAACATTATCTTTATAACCAGGACATTTAATAACGGCCAGGTATTTAATTAAAACATTGAAAGGAAGCTGACTTCTACAGTTTTTCTGTACTTTGGTAAAAAATATACGTACAACTTTTAACTCCGTCCATTCTAAATGAATTATGAATTGGCAATACATCTCCTCTCTTGTGTAGAACCTTGCATACACACCGCAAGGAATGAAAATCCTTTCAGCCTCCCTTATGAAATAAAAAGGGAAATTTAACAGCTGGCGTCTATCATTTGTTTATCAATATTGCTAGTTTTCAACAAATGTTGCCAGTCTTTAAGAAGAGAGAAGTCGATATGGTAACAGAGGAAACCCAACTATATATAAGACAGATGGTCAATCTGTGGTAGAAGAAGGATTCCCACAGAAGAAACTATAATTCCTGGGTATAATTGAGCCCTGAGCCCTTTTTACTCAAGCATTCCTTGTGCAAATGGAAACTGGCATGTGGAATGTACCAGGTCAATTTAATTAATGGCTTTTGAACTGTTTTACTTATGTTTTGCAAAAGCTTTTTAATTCAAAGATCCTGCTCAGTGGGGGAAAAATATCTTAACATGTCTAGCCACTGACATTGAGTCTGGGTATCTGCTAACAATGATGGGAAACTTGTGACTTTCCTTGTGTTACTGAACTACCTGACAAATCTAGCTAGCAAGATTTGACATATTAGGAAAGGTAGTTCAACCCCATTTAGAGTAGTGTTGTTGTTGTTTTTTTAATTTGGCAACTTCAAGATGAATGGACTTCAACTCCAAGAATTCTGAATCGCCATACTGGCTGGGGAATTCTGAGAGTTGAAGTCCATTCATCTTAAAGTTGCAAAATTTGAAAAACAGTGATTTAGAGAGAATAAATGATCTGAAGCATTTATCCCAAGAGCTGATTTTCCCTATGTATTCTTTTGCCTATTTACTAATGTTTGCCTTCCCTCCCAAACCTAATCAGGTATTATGCAGATATTCAACAGACTGTTCCTGCCAGCTACCAAGAGATGAACTCAGCCCTCACTGAACTTTCAGGGGTAAGAAGTAAATGGCCAACATCCCCTTGTTCATTATTGAGAACCAAAGTAGTATCTTTTAAAAAAATCTTGTCAGCTTCACAAACTAGAGATGGAAAATTAATCAAGAAGATTAAACAACCTAAACAACTGATCCCAAATATCTAGTAATTATACAAGCCCAGTTTATTGTAGGCTGGGAACATATAGACCAACTTTTTCCTGTATTGGTGAACACTCATGTCAGCAAGCCTAAAGCTAACATTTGTTTCATACTACAAATAAGTCCCACTTGCATGAATTAATCAAAACACGGATAATTTCTATAATACTTCTGCAGATTTGAAGCATGCTTCATGGTTGTTTTTTCAGTAATCTTACATTAGTTCTTTGAAACATAACAAACCCCTCTTAACTCACGTGAAGAAGGTCTAGCTTGTATATTACAGGGATTACTTTGGTTACATTGGGTGCCTCTGCATACACACGTCTTATATTTTGTTCAGCCCAACAAAGATTTATTTTAAAAACACAGCTGCTTCTTTAGTTTGATAGTAGAGACTGCTTGGAACCCTACCCTGTGCCATATTAAATGATAGCATACGAGTTGAGTAAAAGTACAACAGATTAGGCGTCATTTGGGATGGGTTTTATTTGAAAGGAGATTGCGTTGGTTCTGAATAAGGTAAAGGTTCACCTCGCACATACATGCTAGTTGTTTCCGGCTCTGTTCATCTCCATTATAAAGCCGAAGAGCCAGCGCTCTCCGAAGAAGTCTCCGTGGTCATGTGGCCAGCATGACTAAACGCCGAAGGTGCACGGAATGCTGTTACCTTCCCACCAAAGTGGTGCCTATTTTTCTACTTGCATTTTTACATACTTTCGAACTGCGAGGTTGGCAGAAGCTGGGACAAGTAATGGGAGCTCACTCCGTTACGCAGTGCTAGGGATTTGAACTGCTGAACTGATTGACAAGCTCAGCGTCTTAGCTGCTGAGCCATCACATCCCTGTAGTTCTGAATAGGGTTCCACAAAATGGAAACAGGCTACCAGCTCAAGACAAAAAAGTATTTCTTGTGATGGACCTTGAATTGAGAATGCTGTGATTTGTGTTCACTTTCCTGATCTGCTAAATGGACAGAAATTATAATTTTGTAGAATTATTATAGATGCAGATGGCAAGGGTAGTCAAATATTTGGACAATTGTATGTATATAAATACATGCATAAAATAATGGTGATTTGCCCACACTAATATGAAAAATTGATTGACAAAACTACTATTTTTTATCTTGTCTTGGCAGAAATATTCCTCTGATCTCAATTGCTTAGTGGCTCTGCAAGAACTTTACAACTATATTAACAAATACTATGACCAGGTATAGTAACACATTTATTGGAACTTAATCATGGGGAGTCCTCGACTTACTGTAGTTCACTTAGTGACCATTCAAAGTTACAATGTTACTGAAAAAAGTGACATGACCAATTTTCTCACATACGACGATTGTCACATGATTTAGGATCCTGGGCAACTGGTGCATATTTATGACAGGTGCAGTGTCCTGGGGTCATGTGATCACCGTTTGTAGCCTTTTGACAAGCAAATTCAATGGAAAAACCAGATTCACTTAACAACCCTGTTACTAATTTAACAACTGAGTGATTCACTTAACAACTGTGGCAAGAAAATTCTTAAAATTGGGCAAAATTCACTTGACAATTCACTTGACACTTCACTTAGCAACAGAAATGTTGGGCTCAATTGTGGTCGTAAGTTGAAGACTACCTGTAGTTACTGTTGGTGATGGTGGAGATAGGTTGAATGCAGAAAAGGTAGCAAAAGTTTTCTGAACAGGCTGTGCAGCAATTTAACTGGATTTTGTCGGTATGTGTTTTCTGCAGATAATCAGTGCATTAGAAGAAGATCCATTGGGCCAAAAGATGCAGCTAGCATATCGACTGCAACAGATTGCAGCTCTTGTAGAGAACAAAGTGACTGACTTGTAACATTTCTAAATCAGTTGTCCACCCAGATCCAACACTGCAAACCTAAGCATATTTAACTCAGAAGTAAACCTTCCCATGTTGCTGAAGAGGGGCAAATCGACCTATCCTGAAAATTCTCCACTATCCATTGATCAGCAACATTTTCAGGTGCCAGGCAGCATTGCACAATCTCCCTCAGAGGCATCTTAAATAATTTAAAATGGCCAACACCACTGCTTCCCTCCTTCCACCCCCAGTGCCTTAATTGCATGGATGCTATAAGGCTCTTTTGCACTTGGTGCTCATTCTGTCTTTTATTAAAAAAAAAAAACTAACTGCAAAGGGAGTAATCCCTGTATGGAACACTGGCTTTGTAAATAAAAATGGTGTATTTATTTTGGACACCCTACAAGAAGGGTGTCAAATTACAGTGTCCCCCTTTTAAGCAGCGCGCACTAATGGGCAATTCTGTGCTGACCATTACAGATCTGGGATTGGGGATTGGGGGAATTTTATCCCTTCAGACCTCATTTCCTGGTTTATAATGCACTAATATTGCATTTTTTTTAAAAAAAATATTTGTATAAACACTATATTCTAATTGGTCTTTATTTTAACTCTTCCTATCTATTGCCCTCTCCTTCCCAATTTTATGTATATATGGGAGTCTCCTGCTCTGGGATTGTATTTATTTTAATGACACTTTGAAGAATTAAAAAAAAACTTTTCAGAAAAATACTGTTGTGTGATTTATTTACAGATTCTAAGATGGGGCTCACAATCTGCAGTTCCAAGATTGAATGCAAAGTTGTTATAATCCATAATCATTAATATGGCAGAAAGGAAAAAAATATGAAATAACACAGGGAATAATAATAAGTTTAAGAATATGTTTATTTTTACTAATATTCTTTCTAGCACTTTTATTTAGATGTAAAGGATAGTCTACACTTTTCTATAACTTTTCTATTACTTTTTAAAATTGCAATTATATTAATTGTTTTCCAATTCTTGGAAATAAATAAAAACTGATTGTCATCAGTTCCATGTTGACATCCTTTAAGAATCCGGAAGAAGGCTTTGTCTAGATCTGGAAATACATTTATCTTTAATGTGTCAGTTAGATTTATAACTTTAATCTCTTGTTTTTATTTGCCAGAATTCATCTGATTCTTCTCCTTAAAAGATGGGTCAAGACAGGCAGGCAGCAGTGAATCTAATTCAAGGGGAAGTTGTAGATTTCCTTTCATTGGAAATGTTAAGCAGAGGTTGGATCATCATTAAACTGAAAAACTAAAGGATAGAGTAGAGGGTTGAGCTCAAAAACCTAAAGGGCCCCTTCAAACTTTATCATTCTACAATGGTGATTAATGACAGTGACTAAAATGGAAGGCAAAAGCTTTGGTCAGGGAGGGCAAACAGGTAATAATAGTTGAGCAAACCTAGATATGGTATATGCAAACGTTATTTCTTTAAAAAGTTGAAGACAGTCATTTATGTTTATTGACCCTGGATGTTTATCATTCCACTGAAGGTGGACAGGTCCATTTTTGGGAACCAATCAGTATTATACTTGATAATTTGGCAGAACAGTATTCCTAAATAGAATACTTGCTTCCTGTCATGATTATGAATCCTCCTTGAGAAAACTACAAGGACTAAGATGTATTAGTACACAGGGACGTATGCATCAAGGCAGCAAAATAGTTGTGAAGCAGATAAATCGTTACCAATCATCAATGGCAATGGTCATAAGCTATGACTATTAGGCTAGCTTGGGAAGCACATACACATTCATACAGATTCCAGCATGCTAATTTGTCTACTATCTGGAAACGCTGCAAGTACTGTATTTTCCCAAAGAGAATGCCCACTCCTATTAGTGATGAAACATTCCTAAAAAACAAACAGTGTAAGATAAAGTTGCTACAAATTTGGGCGTGACTTCATATATGTTGGTTAATTTACCATTACAGGGGCTTTTCAACCTTTTAGTCTATCCCGAGCCCAGGAACTGCCTGGTTGTCTTCCAATTGTGTATGAAGGAAACCCAACTCCACTTATTTTTGGAGCCCAAACAAGATCAGCTGGGGGCAGCATGTAAAAAACAAGAAAGGTATAAAGGCCCATTTCTTGTAGTAGATGTGTCATACAGAAGAAAAATGCCTCTGTTAATGAAGTTGGGGATTCTTTCAGTGATTGACTTGTAATAAAGCAATCCTTAGATGATCTTAGGTAACAGTACCCTGTGATGTCAGGCTGGCCACATGACCACAGAAATGTCTTTGGATAGTGCTGGCTCAATGGCCTTGAAACGGAGATGAACACCACTCCCTATGGTCGGCAATGACTAATGGAATAAAATCTGCAGGGACACCTTTTAGGTTATCTAAGCCCTATTACAAATATGTGCCTTCGAATCAACGTCATTAAGTGAACATTACATAGCTAGAATTCTTTAGAATGGTCTATCCCCAGCCTGGTCCTTCAGTGCCCCGTCTACTAAAACACAAGTGATATGGTATTATTTCTTCACTAACTTCTTGTAATTTCAATTATGAATTTATGAACTAACATATTAGGATTGAATTTGTATTCAAATTATATTACAAATACATAATTGTATTCAAATCACATTACAAATTCAATAACAGGATCCCACAAGACTGAAAGCATCATCCTTAAGGACGTTGTCCATTTGAAAGTTAGGATGGGAAAGGAGATGGAAAAATGTAGAAGCCAGATCCAGGGGATACCCAGGAACCAAGGTGTTGCAGTGATTGGAATGCAATACTGCAGGCTAACTCTGCCCACAGCCTGGAGACGGGGCTCAAGATTGACTTGGCCTTAATCTTCAAGTTTCTAGGTTCTATAATATCTTAAGACTTAATATGGACATCTAACATCAAAAACATCATCAAAAAAGCACAACAAAGAATGTTCTTTTCTGCGCCAACTCAGAAAGCTCAAACTGCCCAAGGAGCTGCTGATACAGTTCTACAGAGGAATTATTGAGTCTGTCATCTGCACCTCTATAACTGTCTGGTTTGGTTCTGCAACCAAACAAGGCAGATACAGACTTCAATGGATAATTAGGACTGCAGAAAAAACAATTGCTACCAGCCTGCCTTCCATTGAGGACCTTTATACTACACGAGTCAAGAAGAGGGCTGTGAAATATCTACAGACCCCTCACATCCTGGACATGAATTGTTTCAACTTCTACCCTCAAAATGACGCTATATAGGGCTCTCCCATGCCATCACTCTGCTAAACAACTAATTCCCATAACACTGTCAAACTATTTAGTTAGGTTGAATTACTATTCTTCTTCTCATCTTTCCTATTACCTATCTCCTTTTCTATTTATGACTATAACTTTGTTGATTATATCTTTATGATTTATATTGTTTTATTTAGTTTCCTATTATGATTTGTGTTGATTGCTTATTTATCCTATGACTATCACTAAGTGTTGTATCTTATGATTTATGATGAATGTATTTTGATGATGACTGTGAACATGATTTATCACTTATAGCTTTTATGTACACTAAGAGCTTATGCACCAAAAACAAATGCCTTGTGTGTCCAATCATACTTGGCCAATAAAGAATTCTATTCTGTTCTGTTCTATTTTCGATAAAATGAGGACCCAGATTGTTGGGGGCAACATGCTGACACTGGAAAACACTCTGGAAAGTGGTTGTAAAAGTGATTGTTGTGGGCAATATGCTGACACTGGAAACCACTCTGGAAAGTGCTGTAAAGCAGAGTGGACCAGTGGTGGCAGCTTCGGTGGTGGTTTTGAGCATGCAACCTAAATTCTGCACATGCACAAATGAAGCTTTGTGAGCTCGCCTGCTGCTTTGGCAGCCCAATTCCCAATGGACTGCGGGTCGGTAGCCATCTACAGCCCAGGGGTTGGGGACCCTTGCTGTAAAGCACTATAAAGCGGTATATGAAGCCTTGGTGGCACAGTGGCTAGAGTGCAGTACTGCAAACTATTCCCACTGCAATTTGGCAGATTGAAACCCACTAGGCTCAAGGTTGACTCAGCCTTCCATCCTTCAGAGGTGGGTAAAATGAGGACCCAGATTGTTGGGGGCGATAGGCTGACTCTGTAAACCGCTTTGAGAGGGCTGTAAAGCACTATAAAGCGGTATATAAGTCTAAGTGCTATTGCTATATAAGTCTAAGCGCTATCACTATATAGTGCCAAAAACCAGGATGTCAAGAATTTAGTACTTGAATACTGCCTTCAATATCTGAAACACGTCACCTGTTCTACATAATGATAGTTTGGGCTTCAAAGTTAAGTATTTTTTCCAACACTTTAAAAAAATATTTGCATTTAATTTAGACGATAATAGAAATATAAGCAGCTTTAGAACCGACAGTGAAGATACTGAAGTTGGGGACTGCTTCTGCCTTCTGAGGTCAATCATCAACTGCAAAGGAACAACCAGTCAAGAAATACACCACAGAGTAGCATTTGGCAGAGCAGTAATGAAGATCTTAGAAAAGATATTTAGAAGCTGGGATGCATCTATACTATACCTACGAAGTAAGGCAAGCCATGATAGTCCCTGTAACTCTCTAGGGAAGCAAAAGTTGACTTTCAGTGGGCAGGGTAGGAAGAGTAGTAATACCTTTGATGTTGGAGAAGAATACAGAAAGCAAATCGACGGATCATTTAAGGAATCAATCCTTACTCGTGGCAGACGACCTGGCTCGTAAGAGCATCCTTCTTCGGAAACAATACGTAAAACCCTCTTCTCCCCCCCCCCCCCTTGTCGTCTGGAGTGGGCGGAGCAGCAGCTCCAGGCTCCTCCCCTCCGGCCTCACGTGGTGGGGTAAAAGCCGCTCTTGCGGTTGGGAAGGGGCCGGATTGCGCAGGCGCAGCCGGGTAATCCTCTGCTTGTATGGAGCTCAGCGGGGCAGAGGGGGCGATGAGCAGCAAAAAAGGTGAGGAGGTGGGGGCGGCGGGCGGGGCTGCCCAGGAAAGTAGGAGGGCGGGCGCGCGGGGGCTGCGGGGAATTGCTGGTGGCTGCACGGAGGAGGGGGCCGCAGCAGGTGCAGGAGAGGAGGTGGGGGGGGGGGTCCACTTGGGCGGACCGTCTGCTGCCACTTCATGCCGATCGCAGGCTTGCCCGCAAAACTTTTGCAGCGCGTGGGCATCTGCAGTCCCGGCGCGCCGATCGATCTCGCGCTACTCCCCTCTTCCACAGGCCCGGGGAGCAGCCGTGGCAAAAAGAAGAAACATAAGAAAGAAAAGGCGCCGCCCCCTCCGCCGGCAGAGAGCGGGATCCCCACGGGGTGAGTGTGGAGCGATACGAGAGGGGGGTGGGGTGGGGGTAGGGAACCGAGAGAGAGGTGGCTTGAATGCGGCCTCTGAGGTTACCCGGACGGGTGGGGGTGAGGGGGCAGCCTTCGGCGGAATGTGTGTAGGTGTGAACTCACCCTGCCTTTTGCAAGTTGTGGCTCTTAACGCAACGTGCTTTGCGCATCAGTTGCAGGTCATCCTGCATGTTATACTGACTTTTTACAGAACGGTTGCAGAAGAAGATGCCCAGGGCTGGTTCACAAGTGTAAATTGGTTGTTAGGTCCTGTTTATATATAGGAACTGGTCATCATTTCCCCACTGCCTTAAGCACAGCTGATGTAAAGCAGGGTTTTATGCAGATGAGAATTTTAGAAAAGTGTTGGTTCCCCCCCCCCAAAATGTTTTTCAC